CAATGATTAGGAAGCAGGAAGTCTGGGTATCATAAATAGACGCATGACCACTAGACTGGTTTCCTGACTGTGATAACAGAATCGGATCAAATGATTTCTAAAGTTCTTTCCAATTCAACCATTTCTCCCCGCCTCCACTGCCAGACACTAACTGACATTGTACATACCTAATATCTCAATTTCAATGATCTCACTGGCTGGTACTAAAATTTTTATAGGTATTTTCACATATCTAGCCATTTTCAACCAGGTACCACATGAAAACCAAAATAAGTTACTCCCCCCAAGTGACATGAAGAAAACCGGCTGCCATTTGAAAATGGTAGAACTACTGTGTTAGCTGTAAGGTAAATGATATACAACTATTAAATGAGTAATACAAAAAACATAAGGAGGAGGAAAAAAAAATCAGCGGAATTTTTGCAAGAATATTAAGACTTCTGGGGAATTTGTAAGTTACAAAAGTGGCTAATTAGCTAAAGAAATAATGTCAATTAGATCGTAGGGGTCAGTACTAGAAGCAGAGATGATTTCTATACGGTCCCAACAACAAAGCTCTCCCATTGTGGAGCTAGCACAGGTTCACATTTCAGAAAGCGTGTTCTAAGGTTGCCTTCTCACCATGTATCTTCACATTATAGCCTTGCCATGTCAGGAAAAGTCTGATCCCTATTGTCAACATCTATTTCTTATTTTGAACAAAGAGTGACATTATGATTTCATACATTAACATCATACGAACTACACCTGAGGAACAGACCTATGGGTGTGTCCCCTCCCCCTCCAGAGGAAGTACATTCCTCCAGGTGGTCACTGACCTCTTGAACATAATCACGCATTTTTTCCCACAGTAAATATTTTAAAACTATAAAGTTCTGCAAGAAAGGAATGCTACACTCTTCTCCACTTCTGAAGCTGGCTATACTGCCTGGCATGCAACCCAGCTTGCTGGATAAGTGCTTCTAGATTTCTCCATCATTTCCCTAAGAGCGTTTGCTCTTGCATAAAACCGCGTTCTGCATCTTATGGCAGTATTGTTGGATATTTCCTTCTGGATACATGATTAATAATGTACTAAGAAAAGGAAGAAAAGGAATACCAGAGCCAGAAAACTAGCGAAGAATGACAGGGAGTCACAGTAAAACCATGCCAGCTCATCCTCTCATCAAGGGTGTCGACAGCTCCTCTTCCCATGCAATTGATTTCGCAGCCCTGGTGATCCGGATCCACAGCCAAGCAGGTGTGATCCAACTACACACTTCTTTTTCCATGTTAGAAGTCATCGATCTGGTTCCAGTGCATGCAGCTCCCCAGCCTCAGGCGGAAGGGTTTCCAGAACAGTCACCTATTGCACAGAACACTAATGTTCACACACTAGGCTGTTAGTACTAAAAAGAGAACAAACTACACCAAAATAGGCGGCTGCATGGGGCTAGGCATTACCTTCTAACACTACCTTTCAACATCAGTGCTTTCTTATAGAAGAAGAAAGCTAGTGACTGGAAATAGGAATTAGAAATAACCATTCATTCATGCTGCAAAATTGACTGAAATTTCTGCTCTGATCCAGGGCCCATGTTAGAATCTGGAGGCAAAGGCATCAACAGACATTGTAATCTCTTGCTCAGAGAACACTCAGGCAAGTAAAGGAAATGCATAAAAGCAGTTTTATGTTAGTTTTAAGGCTGCTGTTCTTTTCAGAATGGTGACTTTCATTCTGCCTTTCTGTTCAGGTTTGGGATTGCTAAGCAGCATCAAGTAGTTGTCCAGCACTGTGTCTCAAAAGTCCATGACACTGGCTTCCTTACACGTAAAAAGCATGGTGTACGCGTCACAGCAACAGCTTTTATTTGCCACACACTTTACAATTTACACAGTACTTTCATTACATCCATTATCTAATTCCATAAGATATGTAAGAATAATCATCTCCCCTTTTAGGATAAATTAAGTGCTTAGAGAAGTGACATGCCACAATTTATAAAACAAGCTATTTGGTAACAGAAACTTAGAACTTTTGATTCTTACAGTTAATTTTTATCTTACTACAATATCCCAATTTTAAAAAGAAGTTTAACGACTCATTTATAGTCATAAGAAATATATACAATATTCCCAAACTGTTCAGAATAATAAGTAGTACATTTAGGTTGCCTTCAACTTGAAACTGAAAAATTATGCAAGATAAAGATATGAAATGATTTTTGAAGACTTAAAACATTTTCACAGTGCCCATTCTTAACCTTCTCAAAATCTATTCATACTACCAATAATTTACTTCATAAATATCTTATAATACAAAAAAAAAAGCAGTCTGTGAAATTAAAGTCATGATGCAGGTTTTTCAAATACATTTGAAAAGCTGAGGGAGTCTGCCCAGAAGCTATTCCACAATCTGGGAACCTGTCACCCCGTCACTTCATTTTCAAGTACAAAGTTGGATCATTTATTGACAGTAAAAAATTCAAGCTTTCTCAAACACCAAAATACTGAGCCCATTATTCAAGTAAAAAGGAAAAGCCACCCGGTTCATCAGAACTTAGCAAGCAATAAAAATTAAAGAAAAATCTTTTCCAAAATGAAATTTGTAGTGTGTGTCAAAGGGCCCATGAAAAATTCAAATATCCATTTTGTTCACCAAAGTGTAGCACCACTTTATCTCTAATCCATATTTCCACACGCAAGAGGAAATTACTGTATAAAAGCACACAATTTACAAATGTAATAACCAGTATAATCCTATTTTTTAAATTTACTATGAAATAATCCTAGCACGATTATCAAAAGCATTGTCGTCTTCTGTTCTTTTTCACATCGAACTAGATAAATCAGTACTAAAACCAAAATCGGATGTACATTAAGTATACAAGGATGAAAGGAACAGTGACATGCAAACCTCGAAACCTATCACTAGGAAACCAGTCACTTAAGGCAGTGTGACTGACTGCGTTTCACGATCCTTTCTCCAACAGCACATACAAAACAAAATTAAAAAGGATGTTCAGGCAGTGAATGTGAGAAATGATACCTGGAAAAAACTTTACAGTTTGTATAATTTACTAAAGGCAAGATAAACTTGAAAGATACCTAATGATTATGCAAGTAAAAATTATAGTAGCTACTTAGTTTCTACTTTACTTTTGGAATTGAGACATTAATATATATATATATTAATTATATATATATATCTTAATGTAAAAAAAAAAAGTTCCTGCAATAAAATACAAATTTCGGGGCTGACGCCATAGCATGGCAGGTTAGACTTCCACCTGTAGTGTTAGCAGCCCATATGGGCACAGGTTCGAGAGTCCCAGCTGCTTTGCATCCAGTCCAGCTGCCTGCAAATGGCCTGGGAAGGCAGTGGAGAATAGGTCAACTGCTTGGACCTTTGCACCTACAGCAGAGACCAGACACTCCTGGATCCTGGCTTTGGACTGGTCCAGCTCTATTTGGACCAGTCTCAGCTACTGTGGCCATTTGGGGAGGGAATCAGTGGTTGAAAAAAATCTCTCTTTTTCTGTAACTGTGCATTTCAAATAAAAATAAATCTTCAAAAATATTTTAAAAACTTGAAATGTGGTATAAGATTGTAAACATTTGTATACAAAAGTTAATCAAAAGAGTTGTTTTTGCATCCATTATAAAGCCAGCTGGAGGCAGAGGCAGAGGCAGCTGGCTTCCTGCCGCCCACCTGGACCTGGACTGAGCTCTAGATCCAGTTCCAATCACTGTGAGCATCTGGGGGAGTGAGCCACCAGACAGAACTCGGTCTCTCAAATAAATAAAATCTAAACACAAAGCTAGAGGGAAAAAGGAATTAAAAGACTAGCCTAAAAGGAATTCCAACTTGATTAGTCATTGCTAAAAATTAAAATTTTCTTTTGCATTCTCAAAATCTTTTCCTAAAGAAAACAAATCTTACCAATTTAAAATTGATTTCCTATAAAAGTTAAAACTTCAACAGTCCTAAATTTGTTGAACTAAATGTCAACAAATCAAAGTCTAAACAGTTTACATTCTGTTATATATGAAATAAGAAATATTTTTAGATTCGCATAACATAAATATGGGGGCAACATATACAACTGTATTTTTCCAGCAGAAAAAGGCTTTCTACTTGAAATAACAATTTTACAAAGTCATTTCTAATATAACCTGCAATTTCAGTACAAGTTCTAAATGTTGAAAATGCTTAGGATAAATTTCAGTAACACTAGACAGAAATAGCAAGAAAGTTTTTGGGAAATGCCCAGAATTTGAAGTTTAAATGTTTTATAGACTTAATCACTTAAAAAAAAATTTAAGTGGAATACATTTGAATTTAAAATCAAATTGATATCTAAAACCTAAAACTGTAAGAACACTGTCATTTATGTAAAAAAGGAGGGAGGAGCTTCTAACATTATGATAAAGAAAAAGAAACTAAAGCATACTTGCCTGTTTCATAAATATTTGTGTCTTTTTGGACTTAAGAGCTCCACTTACTCCGTCCACGTCCCCTTGGTTCTTCTACCCTCCATCTTACTGAACAGTACTATCACATTCACATTACAACACCTAGCCAAAGTCAGAGACAGCATTTCCCCTCAAGTTTCCCAAAACATGAAAACCAGAAAAGCGGAGGAAATACTCTCACACGGAGCTACTGGAAATCTTTCTCTCATTTTAGAAAACTAAACCTCTTGCTCTAAAGATAGCCTCCTACAAATTCAAAACTCACCACTGTTTATATAAATAATAAATGTACACAATAATAAAATTCTATAAATTTTGCCAGTACTTGAGAGAAATCAGGGGGGAAAAGGAACTGATGAAGGATTTTTTTTTTCCTACAAAGGAAACAGTAATAAAAGATACTCAAATCCAGAAAAATCCTCCCACCCTTCAAATGTGGAGTCCTTAACATTAACTGAAAAAAATAACTGAAAAAGATATTCAGTTGCTATCAAATATCACCTGATTCTATTTCAGTATAAAGAAACTATGTCAACTAATCGTCTCTATTTTAAAAATGAGTCCATATACCATAGTATATTTTCTGACTCGGTTACTTAAAACCCGTCTTCCCCACTGTTCCAGTATCTCAAAGATCCTTGGAGTAAAACAAAACAAACACAGAACACCAAAGACACATTTTTATGTATTTTTATCATGTACAGCTCTTAGTCATTTACTGTTTAGCTTAAACATGTTTTCCTTTAAAAGCAAAAACTAATTTGATTTAAATATACAGAAACATTAGCAAAATATGGAACACAGTCACTTGTACTCATGTGTCTGTTCAGACCTCTGTGATGCCGGGCACAAAAAACTGCTCAGGTTTTCACAAATTAAGTGTGTTAACTGTACTTTTGCTTTTTAGTTCCTTAAAAGTTCTAAAGATATTCACATTATTCATCCTATCAAGAATGCTCACGAGAATAAGACACACAACATTTAGTTCCTAAATGATAAACTGAAAATTACAGTGACTACTTCATCATACACAAAAAGAAAAATAAATTAAAAATCTTTTAAATTAACTGGTGTTTTCTAATATTCCCTGTTAAATAAATTGCACATGAAGCCCAAGTAGCTGGAAAGATCTCAGAAAAGCAACAAGAAACTGACTTTTTAAAATGCTGACGCTGTTCACACCCAGGTTCAGTCACGCCAGCTGGGAAGAGGTGTTAGATATGGCTTTATTCCTCTTAAATCTGAGAACTGTAGTCACTTCCATGACATTTCAAAAATTGGAACCAAGAGCAATTCATTTCCATGATACTGACTCTTCTGATTCAAAATCACAACAGCCAACTTAGAGAAGGTGTCTGCATGGATTATTTATTAGCTATTGCTAAGAGTCAAATTATTCTGTCCCAGATTTCCTGGTAAACTAGGAATAAAAAGGAGGACAAAAAAGTCACACCCCCAGAGTGACTGAACATCTGAGTCATCTTAGATGTGATACCCGTTGAGGGGGCCCTTGCTCCTAACTGTGTAAGGATCCTTGGCTGCGGTGTGACTTGTACAAGAAGCACACATGGCCCCGGAGAGGTGCTTCAGGCCCCTTTGGAAGACACTGTTGGAGAGACTATAAATGACACAATTGCAGAAACTGTTACTAATAGCCAGCCAGGTGGTCAAGAAGGATGCAAAGTGGTTTCTGCGGCCAGTGGAGCTCTCCAACAAGAAGTAGATGATGTACGGCAACCACAGGATGTAGAACACGCTAGTGATGCGGAAGAGGACCATAGCATAGCGCTTGTCAGGACAGGCCTGGGCCTCCCCAGTCTCGCCGCTCTGGCAGCTGAACCGGGCTTGCCTCTCGCTGATTTCCTTTGTGTGCTGTTGGCAGATGCGGAAGATGTTGAAATAGGTGAAGCACACAACGAGGGCTGCTGGAGCGTACAGCATCATCACGATGAACAGGGTGAAGTAGGGGTCGGTGTACCAGGACTCTGCACACCACTGAAACACATCTCCATGATATCCAGGTTTGCCCCAGTGGAAAAAAGAAGGCAGGAAGATCAGGCTGGAGTACAGCCAAATAAAGAAAATACACAGACGTAATCTCCAGGGCGTAACCAGTGTATTGTACGTTAAGGGTTTAGTGATGGCAATGTATCTATCGATGCTGATGCAGGCCAGAGAGGCCATGGAGACACTCTTCAGAACGGACACCACAAAACCAAATATCTTGCAAGTCAGTGACTCCTCTACTGGAAGTGGGTAGTGGAGGAGTGATAAAGAAGGGACCAGGCAGCTTACTCCAACCAAAAGGTCAGCATACGCCATAGTCTGGATAAAGTAACTGGTGGTATGATGGTTCAGCAAAGGTGCACAGTGAGACACAAAGATCACAACAATGTTGCCAGAAATTATCAACACAGTTAGGAAAACAATAATTAACACTTCCAATAGGCAAAAATCGACAGTTTCCAAATAGCCAAATGCCAAGAGGCAAAAAGGGTGGCTGCTCTGATTACCATCCAGGGTGGAGTTGGAGTTCATCTTGAGCTCGGCAGTGACCTCTCACTTCATGCTGCCGCCTGGCTGCTGCCTGCAGTTCCAAGGAGCAGCTGCTGTCATTGCGGTCAGCTTGCATGCGTGCACTAATTCCAGAGGAGCCTTACTTCCCCAGCTCCTGATGCTGCCACTCTGGTGCATTGCCTGCAGTGCAATTCCCCTTTAAATCCTTCCTGGAATAGGGAGCGCCAGCAGCAGTTGTCTGGCCAGTCTCAGACGTGGCCATAGTACCTGGTTCACCACACACACAGCACCAGAGAGGTAGGGCAAACTCTGGGGACAACGTCTTCAGGCCAAGTGAGGGTAGGGAGGAGGGACAGGAGATAAGGGAGGAAGATGAGGAGCTTCAGCAGGAGTCGCAATGAGTCTCCTCTGAGCAGCTGACAGAAGAAAAGGAGAGAGCATTTTATGTTTTGTATTCAATGCCCTAATCAAAGAACTTGGCTAGCCCAGGCTGGCACCACCCTCCCACTCTATCCCTCTTAATTCCGCTCTTCACCGCTACCCTCACCAGCACCCTTATATTCACTGCTCCTGACTCTAGAAGGAAGGAATAGCCACCGCAGGCTTTTGAGATTATTATAAAATAGAATCAATCAAATTCAGATCAATCCATCCCCTTTTCCTTTCATTTGAGCCTTCCAGGGCAGAAAAGAAAATTTGCTACACCATTGCTGAAAACGTTTAACTACAATTACCACAAATAAAACCAGCCAAGATAATTTATTTTCTTCACTGAATCCAACGTAATACTCCTGCCTCTTTGCAAACATTTCAACAGAATTTATCTGTTTAGCTCAATTTCAGAATTTACCTGTAATTCTGCATGCTGCAATCCAAACAAAAGCCACAATACATCCTTAACAGAAAGCCTTGCAAAGCAGGAATGTGGCTCAGCCCTGTGTACTGCAGAACTGAGACACGGGGGGTGGGGGGAGGCGGAAAGAAGTAGGAGGGGAAACAGGGAGAAGAGGGGGCCTGGGAAAAGCAAGCAAGGAGGAGCAGAAAGCAAACGCAGGTCCAGGAGCACACTCCGGCATCCTAAGTGACTCATTACAATTCATCAGTAGAGAGGTGCTCCCCGATTTCCAGACGGCACAGTGGGGGAGAAGCCAGTACGGCTGCAAGGCAGCATCTGAAAGCCGTTTCCTCGTCTGTCTGGAATCCCCTTTTTAGCACATAAGCAGAATTTCAACTGCTAGCGAGAAGGGGTACTAGCCAGGACAGGGTCAGGAACGTTACTGAAGCATGCCGGAGGGGTAAGAGTGAGGGGAAATTCCTATTTTCTTGTGACATTTTCCAAACAAAGAGCAATATGAAAGAAAGGAAGTATGTGAACAGTGCATGCAACAGAGCAACCACGCTCTCAGCTGCACAACACATCCTCCTGGGAGACTAAATGTTCAATACGAATCTTCTTAGGACCCCTGGGTGTTGGCCAATGGTAAGAAACTTCAGGATCAGGGTGTTTTTGTTTTGTTTTAGGAGAAAAATAAAGAAAATATTACCAAATCTGAGTCCTGAGGAGATAGCCCACACCGAGGAAGCACAGTGTTCCTACCCTGGAGTTCTGAGACGCCGTCTTAGGCTGTGGAGCAGTGCAAATGCATGCACAAAGCATGGGTGAGGAAATGTACCCATCTCTAGCTAAACCTGAAAATTGCAGGTATTTGAAAGCAAACAACTAAAAGATCTATTACAATATAAGCCATCTGATAAGTGTTAGTGGAAAAGAAGGAAAAATATGAGACAATAAAACTCCTAATAGAAGGAACACCCGCCTGGTTCAAACCCTCGCACTGACCATTACTTAGTCACTTCTACGTCATTTTGGTCATCTGGAAAACAAGGACAGTAATCCGTAACGCACAGGATTATGTGAAAAGTAAACCCACGGATACAAAAGGCTTCCCCAACACCTCGTACACAGGGAGTTCCAGATTGACACACTTTCTGCTCACGTCACTAAAACAGTCATGCTAAAGGGCCAACGTTCCCCCACCCTTCTTATTCCACTGCTAGGGACTAGGCTCCTCTGAGACGTGAAGGGCCATTTCTTTCTGTGACAGCACAATTTGCACAGCACACAATGGCTCTCATGCACTACTCAAAAGCATTTAAGTTATGCATATACAAACAGCAAAGATATGTGCAAGGGATGATACGCCAGGATCCGGCATTCCCTACGCTTCTGCCCCAGCTCCCTTTGCCAGTTCCCCTTGTGAGGTGCACACCTTCTACCTGCTGGCCCCACGGACACTTGACTCAAAGCATGCTCAAAGCCAAACGCCTTCTTACGCCAAATCAGCCTCTCATTTCCCCCAACACTTTCCCAGGCTCTCCAGTGTGAGATTCAGAAACCGTCTTCATTATTTACCACCTGAGTCAGTCTTCTCAGTCACCAACTCCTAAGAATCTACTTTTATTTGAGAAACAAACAAAAATCTTCACTTTCATTCCCACGTAAAGCATTCTACAGTTTTATTATCCATATTGTCCTTAAGTAACCTCAAACTGAGAATACTCTAAAAAACTAAAACATACTTCAAATTAATTGCTAAATCATTACTTATAAATAGGAAAGCCTTCGTATCATCTCAAAATATATTGAAGAAAATGACACCTGAGTTCAGCATTCACCTTCATGAAGATGAAACGTGTGTATAATGATACTAGAAGCCCAAGCACAAAATCATGCAGAGATACAAGAAAGCTACAGATTACACACATACACAACATACAACACCACACTCGGGTGACACTCAGACTCAGGTCTTAACTTCTGTTTCTCTTTAGTTCCCAAAAAGTTCTCAACAGTCTTCAAAGAAGCCAAATGAAAATGAGTCAAATGAGTCCCTTCCACCAAAAGGTCCCCGCAGATATCATCTGGGCGACAGAATGCAAAACCAAACCCAAACGGATTAACCAAAACGACCTCCCCCCCCCCGCTCTGGCACCACTGCACTCCCCTTGGCCGGGTCTGTCCTGACCTCCCACCTCTCAGTGTGGAGCAACAGCAGCCTCAGTTACCTGGAATTTTCTCTCATCTTTTTCTACTTCCAGGATTTTTATCTGGGTGCTACTTCAGTGGCAGTTTCTGATATGCCTTTTAATACCCTAGGGTGAGACAAGTGTTTGCACACGTAGAACTGCACAGTAATCTCCACATACTAACAGGTATTGGAACAAGTTTTCCTCAGTCCAAGACAGCTCTCTGATGAGGTCTTGGGCAGCCAGAGGTAGCAAAGAGCAGAGGCAGTTGGGCGGGTGGGCAGGAGGGCTGGGTGGGTAGGTGTGGGTGTGGTGTCAGCCAATGGCATAGTCTCCTCTGGTTTCTCAAACTTATTTCCTCCTCGTTTTTAGTATTTTAAACCATCAGTAATTATCATCCTAGCCTTTAAATTGTTTACTTTTTTGTTTATTCCTTTCTGTCTGACTAAATAACTGAAAGCAGCCACTTGCACAGCCAATCACATCCCAGTTTCTCCAGTTCGGATCCAGGTCCCTGCTCATGCGTCGGGGAGAAGCAGGGGAAGATGGGACCCCTATACCCAAGTGGGAAACCCGGAAAGGCCCTTGGCGCCTGGCTTCAGCCGGGCCCAGCCCTGCTCATCACGGCCAGCAGGCGAGTGGAACAGCAGAAGAATGACCTCTGGCTCTCTCTCGCTCTAGTTATTTTTTCATATAAACAAATCTTTAAAATGAGCAAATATCCAAAAGCACATTTGATTATGATTTCTCTATTTCACTTTCCTCCAAGCCAGGCTACTTATCTATTAGTTACCATCAACTTCACTTTTTAACTTTTGCTCGAGAGTTTAATAAACACTGAAGGGATCAAGCAATAACTGCTGAGAGTTACAGCATTTTAATGATTAGAAAAAGCATCACTGAAGCAGGGGTGCGGATATCCAAATCAATCTCTCCACACCTCAGGCTTCTCATGCATCAAGACAACACAGGACGTTAGCCGCCAGGCAATCGTGCTGGACCCTCTGATAAAGCATTTACTTTTAAAAATAAAAGATGCCCTTTTCTATTTGAAAGGCAGTTACAAAGAAGAGATAGAGAGAGGAGCAAAGAGAAAGAGATCTTCCATAGTTCATTCCCCAAATGGTGACAATGGCTGGAGAACTGGGCACGCCCAAACCACAAGCTGGGCCTTCTTCCAGGTCACCACACAGGAGCAAGGACCCAAGGACTTGAGCCATCCCTTGCAGCTTCCCCAGGCCACAAGCAGGGAGGCAGGTCATAACAGGAATCCAAATGGCATCAGGGCAGCAGGCTTAGCTTGTTAGGTCACGGTGCTAGCCCTTGATTAAATATATTTTGTTGTACAAAAATGTTACTTTCAGATATTATCTAAAAGCTAATGCTGACAATTCTCTCTATTCCATTTTACAGATAGGGAACCAAAAGTCTAGAGCTGCTAAAGCGATCAATGTCAACGATTAGAAGACTGGACTGGGATTTCAATCAAGACCCTCTGAGTCCGGACACCCTTCATGCTTGTGCACGCTGGCTTCTGAACCCGAGTGAGGGACGCGTGTGCTTCACGCCTCCATGACTGCATCCCGCCGGGCAGCGTTTCAGTGTCGGCTTCTTCTCCATCATCTCTTTGGGCAGATCTCTGTCTACACTCTGAAACTGTCAAGCTGTTCCCCAAGCTTCGTCTGGGAACACGCTTGTTCCCTCTCATTTCAATAACACCACTTGCGACACAGTACCCTGCCCGATCACGGCCATCCACCCCTCAGACAATTATGAAAAAGAGATCTTTTAGAAAACTGAAGATGAGAAGTTCTCACTTTCAGCAGAACAATATTCTTTCTTATGTAATTCTCAGGCAACATCACCACAACTGCGAAACTGCTCCCTTCCCCCACGAGCTGCAGACCCACTGCTACCAGCGACAGACTTATTTTATTCACAGGTATGTTCCCGAGCCCTAGCACAGGGCTTGCATAAGTAGATATTCAAAAGGCATTTCTGAATGAACAAACAAATGCTCAGAAAACAAAAGGCAATTCTATGTTTAGGCTGGAAGAGCTTTCAAATGAAACATTAGCACTTTACCTGTAATTATACGTTGAGTGAGTCTAAGCGAATTTTTTTTGAATGCTCACATGAAAATGAAGTCTATGTATACCTTCTAAAACCCCAAAACTTAAAGAATTCTTATCCTAAGTATAAAAAGATGCCACATTAGGCTAAAACACAGGAAACTGTGAGTCAAACACTGTCAAATAGCAATTACAATACAAAGAACTCTAACATGTTAGTGCTCACACAGTTCAGGCTGAGAACTCCTAGACACGTGTGACTTACAGAACTTCACCAAAGGGAAAATGACTTCACAGAGACAGAATATCAGGATTTAAAATTTAACTTTACAAATGATAAAAGAGAGAATCAAGATGGCAGAATAGGGGGATGTACAGTAACTGAATTGGAGACTAACATATCCAGATGTGAAGATACAATGCAGTAAGCATCTCAACTTCCAGACAAACATGGACTGCCAATGAAACCGTTTACTATATGGCAACAGGATGCTGGACTCTCTGCCACTGTCCATGCCCACAATAATGGACATGAGACTGTGTTAGTAATACAAGGGAACTCAGTGGGGGGGATGGGGAGGGGATAAGGAAAGTCTCAGAGATTACGGAACTGTATCATAATAATAATAATAATAAAAGATTAAAAATGATATAAAAAAAAGCACGTTACACCAAATGCTATGTGGGAGCAGCCAACCCAGGGTTAGAATCCACTCAGAACCTTTTTTTTTTTTTTTTTTTTTAACTGAGCCAGGCAACGAGAGCAATCAGTTGTGAAATAGTGGAACCATGGCCGTACTGGGGGGCAGCAAATTAGTCATTCTTGGTATCCGTACAGGATTGGATTCCAGGATCCCTAGGTCTGAAACCAATTGCTTTTCAAGTCTTTTTATAAAATGAACAGTATCTGCAAACATCCTATATATATCCTCCTTCAATCTTCCCTCCTCTCTGTCTCCACTCTCCCTACCTTTGTTTTTCTTTCTTAATTTGAAAGAAGGGAGATCGCAGACAGACAGATCTTCAATGCTGATTCACTCGCCAAATGTCCACAACGGCCTGGAGAGGGGCAGGCCAATGCCAGGAGCATCCGACTGCAGGTCTCCCACAAGCATGCAGCTATCCAGTGCTTGACAGATCCACTGCCGAGCAGGTGTTCACAAGACACTGGACTGGAAGCAGAACCAAGCAGGCACTGCAGCATGGGATTGAGGTATCCCAAATGGCTACTTCAACACTCCGCCAAATCCCAACCCAAATTGTTAGGAATGAACACATACCAAAAAAGGCACAAGATAAGCATAATGAAAAAAAAAAAAAGCATAATGGTAACTCTAATGTCCTGAATGAACAAAAACAAACCAAAAATTTTGCAAGTAGAAAGTATGTCCTTAGAAGTGCAGACATTATAAAGACAAACTTACATCATCAATTAATATGTAAGTTAAATGCAGCTGAAATTCGTAATTTCTAAATTATCTTAAACAGCAGTAGTGGTGGTCAGACTGGACATACACTTTTTAAGAAGATTAGATTTACGGTAATAATCACTAAAAACTGAAACAGGGAAACAAAAAATACGATAACAGAATATAACTAAAGTCCTCTGTAATCAAAAACAGTATCAGGAATAAACAGGCAGATGAGTAACTAGAACGACCCAGCAGTTGATCGCCTTTCTGCAGGAGAACTCAGGGTAAGACAAGGGGAGCAGCCTCACCAGCAGGAAGGGGAGAATCCCACAACTGGCTCTCACTCTGGGACAAGTGTACAACTGCATGGCTATTTACAACAGGCACAAAAATGAGTTCCAGGCAGGTTAAGCACATTAAGAATATACACACAGTAAAAATTTTGCAAGAAAACTTTGGCAACTACATTTACAAAATCTAGATGTAAAAGAGACCTTTACCAAAATATAGCATTTTATACAAAAACTGAAAACATTTTACATGGCATAAAACCATAAAGTCCATAAGGAACTATAACTTACAAATATTTACAACGTAGCAATTTACAATCCTTTACAAAGATTAATATACAAAAAAAGTGTAGAGTTCTAAGAAACTGATATATTAAAAACACGTAATAGAAAATAAAGATAATGAAACAGTAAATCAGAACAAATCATTCAGATTTACTGAGAGCTGCAAACTGAAGGCACTCACATATTTACCACCAGCAAGAACTAAACATAGTGCCACCTAACAGTTCTTGGAACAGGCACCAGGGGGCGCCCTGCGGGATGAACACCACGGCTGGTGAGATTGTGAACCATCACTCAAACAAACTGGAAACGAGTAACTAAATTCTTATTAATATAAAGACAGAATTCATGATTTTCACAGGTGCAATTCTAAGAAGACAGTCATATTTTCCTAACCCCTTCCTCCGTTATTTAAAAAACTTGTGTGAAAACATAATTCCAATCCACCCTATCAACACAGACTTAATGTACCACTAACCATAATATTAAAGAAAAAGCAGAAAGACCACAGGTCCACGGGAGTGTTAAGTAGGGTTATAAACAACAACCAAATCACTAGATGCAAATGAAACAGCAAGTGCAAATACTCAGTTTAACAACAGTGTGTTGCCATTTGGTTGACCAATCAAGCTCCTTAGACTATTCCACAGAACTGAAAGACGCAGAACATCTCAAGGGATGCTGATTAAGACACTAGGAGTAAGATAATATCCTCAAGAAGTTTACGCAAAAAGAAACAAAACGCTAAGTTTGGTGAAAATAAGTTTTTGAAGTTGATACACTCAAGAGATCTTCAAAAAATTTATGGTGCATATCATAAAACAGTTATGAATGAATTATAAAACACATGGCTGGGCCTGGTGCAATGGTCAAGTGGCTAAAGTCCTTTCCTTGTATGCACCGGAATCCCACATGGGCGCCGATTCTAATCCCAGCAGCCCCGCACAGCCCAAAGCCTTGGATTCCTGCACCTGTGTGGAGTTCTGGATGAAGCTCCTGGCTCCTGGCTTTGGATCAGCTATGCTCTGGCCATTGTGGCCACTTGGAGAGTGAATCAATAGACATGAGATCTTCCTCTCTGTCTCTCCAACTTTCCAATACAAATAAGTAAATCTTAAAACAAACAAACAAACAAAAAAACACATGGCTTACAAACTTACTGGAATATTGATAATTATAAAACGTATAAAACCTCCATCCCCAAAATATGAGCTACTGATCTTTGTCCAAAATAGATGAGTGAAAAGACATCGGATACAAACGCGCACAGACCTCATGGCTGCACACTTCACTCCAGACCCAAGCTCAAGCAACGGCATCAGAATCAGAGCAGTGACCGTTGCAGCACAGGCAGCGTTTGCTAAAACCGGAAAAGGACTACTGGGTAACAGATATGTTCTTGGTTCAATGGCTAGTAGCAGCTTACTGATACGTAAAATGTCAATGGAGTTGCATACCCTAAG